CTATGTTCCTTGAGTTTATAGAGGTATCTGGTTTACCACATGGATGCTACTTCTGCTTTCAAACATGAATCAATCTGCAAGCTCCTCCAAACACTGTCCATGATTGGTAACCATTATGGTATTTGACACAACTACAGTACAGTGTTCAGCATCACAGCAACTCCAGGTAACTTCAGTACAGCAAATAAAAACAAATGACTGCTGTACCACTTAAAGAATGTTCAAACTAACAATAAATTTGGCCTCAGGTCCTACAGAATTTAAAAGACATGCCCGACAAATGCTATTTACTATGATAAACCAAGTAGACCCCCACCCTTGAGACATTGTAGGCTAAATTGAGTAAAAGTCCAGCCAGCTGCCACTCGCTTACCGGGGGGGGGGGCCTTCGGCCCTCGGGCCCCAAAGTTCAGAGCTGGCGGGGGGGGGGGGGGGGGGGGGCGGGGGGGGGGGGGGGGAAGGGGGACCAATAATACAAACTAAAACTTTCCTTATGTGATGCCCATCAAGGCTAAGATTGGAACCACTTCACAGAAGCCTCCAGGCCAGCTGCAGACTTAACCCATATATGCTAATATTATTATTTGTTTCTTTTTTCATTGGTTTGTTTACAGAGTTCGTATACATTGTGTTTCATACAATCATTGTTATGCATTACATTTTATAATAATCACCATTGGACCTTGCCCATCATTACCCTGTCTTTTCACTCAGATCCTTCCCATTTCCTTTCCCGCCTCCTTCCACCCACCATACTGTGCAACCGTGTGGTTTTGCTTCTACCCATCCTCTTTCTTCTGCTCCCACCCCTTATCCCTTGGGTTCCTATACTTGTTTTACTAGTTAGCCTTATATTTTTACAATAATGGTCTTCTGTAGTATTTGTCCTTATGAGACTAATTTAGTTACTCATGTGCTGATATTTTGTTACACATCATGTCACTTTGAGTCAAAGCCAACTCTGCAACACCTAATACAATAAGATCTTTAAGTTATATTTTTAATAAAAACTAACTTAAAGTTAAGATTTTTAAACTGTATAATGCATTCTTATGTTTTAGGTATACATATATATTATGTACTTATAGGTATATAAATGCACATAGACCTTTGCTGTTGTTATTGTTATGTGTTATTGAATGAACTGCAACTCATAGAGACCCTATGAACAGTGCCCTATCCTGACCCAACTTTACCATCTCTTGACACACCTGACCCCATTGCCACAGTTACTGTGTCAATCCATCTCATCCAGAGTTTTCTTGCATTGACCTTTCCAAGCATTATGCTTTTTTCAAAGCACTGGCCTCACCTGACAATGTGCCCAAAATATGGGAGACAGAGTTTCAAAATCCTTGCCTCCAAGGAGCAGCCTGGTTTCACCCTCTCTAGGACAGACCTGTTTGTTCTCTTGGCAGTCTGTGTTAACTTCAGTACTCTTCTCCACTACCACAACTCAAAGGCATCGATTCTTCTGTCACCCTTAGTCATTTTCCAACTATCAGATGACTAGTAAGTAATTGAAAGACTATAGCTTGGATCAGGCATACTTTAGTCTTTGGATCACATCTTTACTCTTTAGCACTTTAGAGAGAGGTCGCTGACAGCAGATTTTCACAATGTAACTCGACTTTTGATTTCCTGACCACTGATAACAAGGATTTTTATTGTGGATCCAAGCATGATGAACTAATTCACCTCAATCTTTTCTCCATCTATCATGATGCTGCCTTTTTGCCCAGTGGTGAGATGTTTCGTTTTCCTGATGTTGAGATGCAATTCATATTGAAGGAGTGTTTGATCTTCTGCAGCAAGCACCTTAAGTCCTCCTCAGTTTCATCTGCATTACACAGGTTGTTGATGAATCTTCCTCCAATCCTGATGCCACATTCTTTTTCATAAAGTCCAGTCTCTTCAATGATCTGTTCAGCATAAATATAAAAGTACGGAGAAAGAATATATCCCTGGTGCATTCCTTTCTTGATTTTAAACCATGCAGTGCTCTCTTACACAGCTTCTTGGTCTAGGTATAGGTTTTCCTTGAGCACAATCAGGTATTCTGCAATTCCTGTTCTTATAAGTGTAAGGTACAATTTGCTGTTATCTACACAGTTAAATGTCTCTTCATAGTTTATAAAACACAAATAGACATTCTCCTGGTACTCTCTGCTTTCAGCCAAGATCCATCTGACATCAGCAGTGACGCTTCTAGTACCACGGCCTCTTCTAAACTCAGCCTGTATTTCTGGAAGTTCTCTGTTGATGTTCTAGTCATTTTTTAATAATTTTCAGCAATATTTTACTTGCATTTTATATTAATGATACTGTTCTATAATTTCCACCTGTTGGACCGCCTTTTTTGAGAATGGGAATAAGTATAGATCTCGTCTTGTCATTTGACCAGGTGGGTAGCTGTCCTCCAAATCTCTTGGTACAGCCTGGTGAGCATGTTCAGGGTTACATCTGTTTGTTGAAATACATCACTTGGTATCTCATTAATATCTAGGGCCTTATTTTTTGCCAATTCCTTTAGAGTTGCTTGAACTTCTTTCTTTATATTGGTGGGATGGGAAAAACGGACCAATCCCACAGTAGTTAGTTTACATACACCCTATTTCAAGTCCCCACCCACTCATGGTAAAAGTAAAAGCTGGTGATGAGGAGAGCCATTGTGAAAAAGAACTCATGGTAACACAAATTAGAATACAGGAAGCGAGTAGAAATGAATGAGGTGCATAGTGCCACTGCTGTAAAATGGGACTGACATCAGGGTTAGGGTAAGAATGAGAAAAACTGGATGAATTATGTATACTGCATTGCAACCAATGAGGGAGAGAACCGTTTAAAAGCAATATATTTTAGGGCATTACGATTATCATAAGAGTCCGGAATGAAGGTTGCAGAGTGTAATATACTCGGGGTGGTTGGCGGGGGAGGCGGGGGGATTGTATACCAATGAAGGAATTTTTCTTTTACTTTTCAAAGAGAAGAATGAACTGGGGGTGGGGGTGGGGTGGAGGGGGAGAAAAGTGCAAAAATGAATGAATGGAAATCCAAAATATCTGTAAATGTTCATTGAAATTAATTTAAAAAAACTATTTCCTTCAATATGGATTACATCTCAACATCAAAAAGATAAAAATTCTTTGTATAAGTCTTCTGTGTCTCGATTTAGGTTCATTCCCAAGTATCTCAGGTGGTGGTTGGCTGTTGCAAATGGTATTGTTTTCTTGGAATCCTTTTCTGAGTTTTCTTTGTTACTGTGGAGGAATCCCATTGGTTTTTGGGTGTTGGTCTTTGTGTCCTGCCATTCTGCTGAATTGGTCTGCTAGCTCTAACAAAAAAAACAAACAAACAACAAAACAAAAGAAATGAATGATTCAGTCATTTAAGTAGACAGAAATATGATCAATATATTTTTTAAAAGAAATCCAATGAATACTGTACACAGTAGTCTACTATTTTATAGACAAGTGAGTAAACAAATATATTTTATAGGTATTTTATGTGCATAAAACCTTCTAATAACTATAGTTATCTTCTGAGGACATCTAAGTGTCTGGAGGAACATTTAGGACTTTCCAGCTGATGTCTTTTTTATACTTGATTTGGAGTAATATAGTGCCTATTGTTAGAGCTATGTAGACAGAAAGGTAGGTAGGTAATTAGATGAGTCTGATAAACAGACTCATAAGGATGATAAAGATCTCCTAATACTAAATTAAAAATAATAACATTTGAGATGATTAGTCATAGAAACAGGGGGCTCTGGGGGCCTAGTGGTGAGGAGTTGTACTGGTGAGGAATTGTACTGGCAACCCAAAGTAGATGGTTCCAATTTACCAACTGCTCTCTGGGAGAAAGATAAGCATTCTTCTCTTCTGCCATTCCTCTTAAAACCCACTGGTGGGTCAGCTGTGAGTAATTTCTGACTTACGGTACACAACAACACACCACCACCAGTTAGGGAAACAGGAATATTAAATAGGACAGCTGCATTCCCAAACTGACAGACTGTCAAGTGGAAACTGACGGTCTTGTGGTTTTCTTCTGTGTTCAAGATCCAGTGTCTCAGCATAGTTAATAGCTTCTGGACCATTAAGCAAGCTATTGGGTGTAAAGAAGCTGTGCTGAGACAGGATGCATGCAGTGTGAGCTCGTGGTGAGCACAAACATGCACATCTGGGTTCTCTGCCTGTTAGTAAAGAACCAGAACTAGAACCTGGTCTTGTGACTCCCAACCCTGAGCTCTGTCAGCTTCATTATGTGCTTTCAGAATAGTAGTTGCCATTTTATTTGTACTAATTCAAGGAATTATTACAAAATAAAAGTTTTGAAAACTGTCAGTTTGGACAGTTTTCAGATTTACATGGCAAATTGTCTAATTATAGATTTTGAAGTAATCTTCCTTAGAGTGCTTTGTAACAACCACCTGCAAACCAACATTTAGTATGTGAAAGCATTTTTTAATTCTTTTTTTAAACCTCATCCTTCGTTAAAACCACAGTTACAAAAAAAATTAAAACTACAATTACAAAAAAATAAATATTTAACAAGGTCTTTTACAATAGCTTTATCCAATATAATATCATAATTTGACTTTTTCATTGATGCTTCCATAGACATTGAATTTCAGTCCTACTAAAATGAAATCTTTGAAAATGTCAACATTTTCTCCATCTATTATGCTTATTGATAGAATTGTGAGGATTTTTGTTCTTTATATTAAGATGTATTTCTTTTAATTAATATTTTTATCATTCATATACATTGTGGTGAAAACACTTTATAAAATATCTTAAACTGTGTAAGAAGTATTCAAGGCAAACTTTTTTCTATTTTAGCTGCTTACCTGTTTGCAAAATAATCAAAAATGAAAACAAAACTTTCCATAAGTCAAATTGACCCAAATGTCACATTAGTAAAATTTTGCCTCTTATACCTTCACATAGTATTTTTTTTTTTTACAGAGTAAAAATTACGTGTTCCTTTTCTTTTAGGTAGAGGTTGAAAAAATGATTGCAGTTGCCTGGGACATTTTTCAGCCACTTCTTTTTGGTCTGATTGGAGCAGAAGTATCTATTGCATCTCTTAGACCAGAAACTGTTGGTAAGAATTTCAAAGTATACTATTGAACTAAAATATTCTTTTTGGTGCTCTTGTGTGTGGCTGTAAGGTTGCATTGTCAACACAAAGGTAGACATTGCAAATCTACCAGTTACTGCACAGGATAAAAATGGGCAGTCTCCTCCCATGCAATATATAGCCTCTGAAAACCCACTGGAAAGTCAGCTATAAGTCAGTTTTGACTCAGTGGCTCATGACAACAGCAACATTTTCAGTTAAAGTATCTTTTGTAGGTATGTATTCAGTAGACTGTGATGTACTGATCAAAATACCTTATTTTATAAACCTGGATGTGATTTTAGCTGTCACTTAACTCAACCTAATTAAATAGCTATATATGCCATCAAAAGCTATGATGATTAAGCTGAAGTGGCTTAAGAACTCAGACGTTAACTGAGTATTCTGTGGAGGTCTACTTGTGTCAAAAACAGTGTTGGAAACACCGTTGGACAGTTCGTATGTCCTGTAGGGAAGCTACCAGTCCAAATAGACTCTTCTTATTGATCTCATCTGTGGCAGCTTGCATATTACTCTGATCCCAGTATTTCAAATGTCAGCACAGTCACCCATGGTAGACAAGTTTCACCTTCCAGGCTAAAACACATGAAGAAAAAGGACTGGCAAGCTAAATATTTTTAAAAAATGGCCAGTGAAACACTTACAAATAGCAGTGAAACAATATCTGATACATTTCCAGAAATTAAGCCCCTCTGGTTGAAAAGTATTTAAAATATAACTGGGGTACAGCTAACTTCCCAAAGTATAGTTGTTATGTACCTTTAAGTTGTAACCAACCCATAGCTGACCCTCCAGCAGGCTTCCAGAGGCAGTAAACCATGTAGAAGGAAATTGCCCATTTTTCTTCCATAAAGTAGCTGGTAGATTCGAACCACATACCTTTGTGTTGGTAGACCAAGGCCTGTATCAAGTGCACCTTTGTCTCCCAACGGGCATCATTGTTCTTCAGCACTCTGGAGAGGTCCCTAACTGCTGACTTTCCCAATAAACTTGTCTTTTGATTTCCTGACTGCTGGTGCCATAAGAGATGATTGTGGATCCAAGCAAGATGAAATTATTAACAATCTCAGTCTCTTCTCCACCCATCATGTTACTTCCAGTTGGCCCGATGGTGAAAATCTTTGTTTTATTGTCATTCAGGTGTAATCCACATTGAAGACTGCAGACCTTCAGCAGCAACCACTTCAGGTCTTCCTCAGTTTCAGCAAGCAGTATTGTGTCATCTGCCTAACATAGGTTGTTCATGAGTCTTCTTCCAATCCTGATACCACATTCCTCCTCATAAATACTAGCCTCCTGAAAGGTCTGTTTTACGTATAGAGTGAAAAGGAATGAAGACAGGATGAATCCCTGACTCACATCTTTCCTTATTTTGAACCAGGAAGTTTTCTTGCTCTGTTCTAAGGACTGCTTCCTGGTCCAAGTATAGGTTTCACATGAGCAAAATCAAGTGTGGTCTGGGATTCCCATTCTTCTCAACATTAGCCACAATTTGTTGTGATCCACGCAGTCAAATGTCTTTGCATAGTTAATAAACCACAAATAGACATTCCTCTAGTACTCTTTGCTTTCAGCCAAGGTCCATCTGACATTGGCAATGATATTCCTAGTGCCACAGCCTCTTCTAAATATGTTGTTGTTGTGTACTGTCCAGTCAGAAGTGACCCACAGCTGACCTTTTGGTAGGTTTTCAGAGGCAGAAATCGCATGGGAGGAGACTGCCCATCCTTCTTCTGCAGAGCAGCTGGTGGCCTCAAATCATGTGTCTTATAGATTGCAGCACAGCTTCTTGCCACTAGGCCACCAGAGCTCTCTCTTCTAAATATTGTTATTGTTATGTACTGTCAGGTCAGAACCTACCCATAGCTGATCCTCTGGCCAATTTTCAGAGGCAGTTAATTGCCGGGAAAGAGATTGCAGATCTTAATGATAGATGGGAGCTTTGGCCTAGTGGTAAGAAGTTGTATTACAATCGCAAAGGCAAGCAGTTCAGACCCACTAGCTGCTCCACAGGAGAAGGATGGGCAGTCTCCTCCCATGCAATTTCTGCCTCTGAAAACCTGTGTTATTTACTGAAAATTTGTGTGATTTACTGCCTCTGACAACCATTGGATGGTCAGCTATGTGTCAATTTTGACTTAACAGCACACAACAATGATGGATAGAGCAAAGTTTTCAGGAACATCCTTTTTTGACTCAAAAAGAGAAGGAACAGGTGCAAACATCTATTCATAATTAGAATGTTAAATGTAAGAATATTAATCTAGGAAAATTGAGATTTGTCAGAAATGAGAAGGAATACATAAAGATTATTACAGTAGACATTAATGAGCTGAAATGAACTGGTATCAGCTATCTTGAATCCGATAATCATACAGTTTACTATGGCAGGAATGACAAATTGAAGGGGAGTGTCATCACATTCATCACCCAAAAGAACATTTCATCATCTATAATAAAGTAAAATGCTGCCACATATAGGATTATATCCATACGTAGCCAAAAAAGTCTAGTTAATACAACTGTTACACACATTTACTTACCAATCCAAAGATGGGGAAAAAAATAAAGATTTCTAACAACTTGTCCATTCTGAAATTGAGTGAACATGCAGTCAGGATGCATTGACAATTACTGTTGTTGTTGTTGTTGTTCTGTGCCAGTGAGTTGAAACTGACTCATAGCTGATCCTCCACTAGGCTTTCAGAGGCAGTAAGTCATCCAAGAGGAGATTACCCATCTTTCTCCCAACTGATAATTATAAGTAGTTGGAATTAAAAAACTGGAAACATGGAAGAAGGATCAGCATTTGAAAATTATGGCCGTGGTAATAGAAACACTACCAGAAATTTCTTAAAATAGTTGCAGCATCCATTGACCAAGAACAGCCAGAAATTCAAGTTCTATCCAGAAAGGACACAGAGTGAGGTCTATTACTGTTGTCAGATTGATCATGGTTAAAAGCAGTGGCTACCAGAAAAATATTGACCTGCCATTTACTGATTTTGCAAAGACATTATGGATAGCATTGTGAATTCCAGAACACTTAATTGTACTTATAAAGAACATGTGCATAAACCCAACAGATAATCATTCAAACAAAGCAAGGGGAAATTGTGTGATTTAAAATGAGGAAAGATATGTGTCAGGGCTATATCTTTTTCACCATATTACCTAGGACTGCAACCTTCAATACGGATTGAGGCTCAATATCAAGAAAACAAAGATTCTTACCACTGGGCCAATTAGCAGCATCATGATAGATGGTGAAGAGATTGAGATTGTTAACAGCTTTAGTTTCTTGGCTCCACAATCAACACTCTTGGCGATAGTAGCCAGGAAATTAAAAGACATATTGTGATGGTAAAGTCTGTTAGGGACCTCTCCAAAGTACTGAAGAGCAATGATGTCATTCTGGAGACTCAGGTGCTCTTGAGACAGACCATAGTCTTTTCAATCACTTGTTATGTGTCAGAGAGCTAGACAGTGACTAGAGATGATAGAAGAAAAATTGATGACTTTGAGCTGTGGTGTTGAAGAAGAGTATTGAGTATACCATGGACTGCTAAGAAAATGAACAGGTTTTGCCTAGAGAGAGTTAAACTGGGATGCTCCTTAGAGGCAAGGATTCTGAAGCTTCATCTGACATATTTTGGACACGTCACAGGGAGAGACCAATCCTTGGAGAGGGACATGCTTGGGACTTGGGAGGGTGGAGGGACAGCACAGGAGAGGAAGACCCTTTATGAGGTGGATTGATTCAGTGGCTGGGGTAATCGAGGTAAGTGTGTTGGAGACAATGAGATTGGCACAGGATAGAGCAGGGATTAGGGCTGGGTCACTATGAGTCACAGGCGACTCGAGGGCACATAACAACAACAACAACACCCAGTCTGTATGCTAACTAGATAATCCAAGCAGCTGAACTATATGAAGAATAATGCAGCACTAGGGTTTGAGGAAAATACATGAACAACTTATAATATGCAAGCAACCTATCCAATGCCAGTGACACAACCTAGCTTGCAAAAAGTGAAGACAACTTAAAGCACTTACTGACAAAAAAATTCAAAGACCACAGCTTTTTAATACGGGTTACATCTCAACATCAAGAAAACAAAAATCTTCACAACTGAATCACTAGGCAATATCTTGATAGACAGAAAAAAAGATTGAAATTGTCAAGAATTTTATTTTACTTGTATCCAAATCAACATCCAGCAGTAAAAATAAAAGAGGTGTAGAATTAGGCAAATCTGCTGTCAAGGATCTCTTTAAAATGCTAAAGAGCAAAAATGTCAGTTTTTCAGTTACCTCATATGCCTGTGAAAGCTGTACAATGATGAATAAGGAAGACTGAAGAGTAGTACTACTGGTGAAATACAATGAATGGACCATGGGCTGCTGTAGGACAAATAATCTGCCTTGGCAAAAGTAGAATTAGAATGCGCCTTAAAATTTAGGATGGCATAGATCAATGATGATTAATTTTATAAAACATAATATGTGGCAATGATTTTTTAAACAATGTGAATGAATAAAAGAGTTAAACACAACATATACAAATTATGTATGCAAACTAACATATAATTATAATTTTTAAAAAAATGTTAGGATGGCAAGACTGTCTTTTATCCCTTAAACATGTTATCAGGAGGCATCAGAACTTGGAAAAAGGCATCATACTTGGTAGATTCAATGAAAAAAAGAGGAAGACATTCCACTAGATGAATTGATACCTTGGCTGCAACAGTGATTGTAAATAAAGATGGCACAGGACTGTTTTGTTCTGTTGCCTGTAGGGTCTCTGAGTCAGAACCATCTCAACGGCACATAGCAACTTAAGCAATACATCATCCAAGACTAACGTGTTTTAAGTGTAAACCAATATGGTTAAACAGTTATGTGCCATCCCATTGTTATTTCCTTAATGGTTTTTGGGCTTTGAAAGGTACACTATATGCTATATTTATTTACCAAGGCAAACATCCTATTAATGTTAGACAAACCATTTTTAAATTATTCTAATATACAGATTTTAATTTAAAATAGACTTAAGAACAGAATCTTTTATAATTCAGAAACTGCCTATATGTAACATGGTGTTCACATAGCATCTAAGTCATATGTAGTAACATCCTATTTCACAGAATATACCATGAACTTTAAGTGACATGTAGCTGTATTTGGACTCTGTAACCATGAGTTGCAATCTATCACCAGCGTTTCATTCTTTATAATAATCGAGTTTTTCTTACAGGCCTCTGTGTTGCCACCCTGGGGATCGCAGTACTGATAAGAATTTTTACTACATTTCTGATGGTGTGTTTTGCTGGTTTTAACATAAAGGAAAAGTTATTTATTGCTTTTGCATGGCTTCCAAAGGCCACAGTCCAGGTAATTTTGGATAAAATGGCTTAACAGTTTATCTCTTATTTATTTCTGTATGATACCTTGACATATTAAATGAAAGGATGTATTCAAATAATGTGAGAATTAGCAGTTGAAGTTTGGTTTCTAAAAAGAGTTTATATTAACCTACTCTTTAAAAGTTTTCTCTTTGGTACAGTAATTCCTAAAATATAATGAAATCATTTTTTATCACCATGTTGCAACTAAAAACAAATCCCTATATTACTAGACAGTACTAGTAGCAGATATAAAATATTTGAATTCTAACCTGCTTTCTAATCCAGATAAGCAGTTGTTACCTTTCCTCATTTCATTATCCCAAGAGGGGCTTAGAAATAACCTGGCCTATGAAATATTAAAAATACTTCAATGTCCACATGACTAATGAGCAGGATGCTTGGCCGGATTTTATATATAATGGAGAATAGGAGATTTATTGACAATCACTCAGAAAGCATTTCATTGATTTTCTAGATTATAAACTCGTTTTAAGTTATTTAAACAAGCTTAACTTCCTACCAACTGCATTCACTGAACTTGAAATTTATATACTTGTTCATTAGAGTATATAGTAACTCGTGGTTGCTGTGATGCTAAACACTGTGACACTAATGTGTCAAATGTGATAATGGTTACCCATGGTGGACAGTATTTGGTGGAACTCTCAAATGAAAACTGGCTAGGAAGCAGTAGTGGCATCCACTTCTGAAATAGCATGCCTCCAGAAACTTTATAAACTTAAAGAAATGATAAAAGTTGTGTGTGTTCAGGACTTTTCATTCATAGGGTCACTATGAATTGTCTACAACTCAACAGCACTTAAAAACAACAACAATGAGCAAGTGATTATGAAAGCACTTAGTGCTTTCAAACTGCTTATAATGTATTTGGTACAATACCTATAATTGCTAACCAACAAGGAACAGTTTAGACTATGATTCGAGGCAAATTTAATATGTTACTGCTTGCATTCTACTGTGCATTTTGAGGCTAATTGTAACTAGCAAGATTTACCGTTTTTATTTTTCTTCATTTAAATATGAAAATTTTCTGTCTTTAAGGAATTAAAAATTAGTTGTTTTATTAGTTTGGTTTAGGAGATTTTGGAGAATTTATAGGCTCTGGAATTATCTCTGTGAGATTTTGTGTGGCTATGGGCATATTAGGGAGCTCTGGAGCCTTAGTGGTAAGAAGTTTCACTGCCAACGCAAAGCTACTTGGTTTTAATCCACAGGCTGTTCCAAAGAAAGGAAGACAAGCAGTCTCCTCTCATGTGATTTACTGCCTCCAAAAACTCCTTGGAGGGTCATTTATGGGTCGGTTCTGACTTGAGAGTACACAAGAACACAAGCATATTTTGGAGCTCCAGTGGCCTAGTAGATAAGGAGTTTCACTACCAATCCCTAGGCGGGAGGTTCAAATCCACCACCTGGTCTGTGGCAGAGAGATGGAAAAAAATCTCCTGATCGATTTACAGCTTCTGAAAAACTGCTGGAGGGTCAGCTGTCAGTCTGTTTGGACTCCACGGCAATAAGTTAAGTTTGTTGATGGGTGCATTGTTCCAAAGAAGATTCCCTTTTTTCATCAGATTTCAAAGATGCCGGAGGTACAATGGCTTATAGTAATGTTAGGCTAATACAATGCAAAGAAGAAAATAGGGGTTTTTTTCCCTCAGTGCTTCTAGCTTCCACATGACTTCTGGCAGCTTTAGCAGGTAAATAGCAAAATAGTCATTCTAGTAGATTTGCTAGAACAATTTGTCTTTAAAATGGCACTGTTGCTAAGTGCCATCGAGTCGCTTGCAACTCATAACAACCCTAGGTACAGCAGTCCTGAAACTTGCTCTATCATACTGTGCCAAGTTTGTTGTCTCTGACACACCTACCTTCTTCACCCCAGTCACTGTATCAATCCATCTCATTAATGGTCTTCTTCTCCTCTGTCCCTCCACCCTTCCAAATATGATGTCTCTCTCCTAGGACTGGTCCCTCCTTGCAACATGCCCAAAGTATGTCAGATGAAGCATCAGAATCCTTACCTCCAAGGAGCAGGCCTAATTCACCCTCTCTATGACGAACCTGTTAGTTATCCTGGCAGTCCATGGTATATTCAAAGCTCTTCTTCAGCACCACAGTTCAAAGGAATCAATTCTCTTTCCATCATCCCTAGTCATTGTCTAGTTCTCTGATGCATAGCAAGCAATTGTGAAGACTATGGTCTGGATCTGATGCAGCTTAGTATCTATACTGACATTGTTGCTCTACAGAAGTATGAAGAGATCCCTAATAGCCGGCATTCCCAGTGCAGTTGATCTCTTGATTTCCTGGTTGCTGGTACCAAGAGTGTTGATTGTGAAGCCAAGCAAACTAAAGCTGTTAACAATCTCAATCTTTTCACCATCCATCATGATGCTGCCAATTGGCCCAGTGGTGAGAATCTTTTCTTTCTTGATGTTGAGCTTCAATCCATATTGGAAGCTGCTGTCTTTGATTTCTGCAACAAGCACTTCAGGTCCTCCTCAATTTCAGCAAGCACAGTTATGTCATCTGCATAACGCAGGTTGTTGATGAATCTTTCTTCTATCCTGATGCCACATTCCTCCTCATAGAGCTCAGCCTCCTGGATAATCTGTTCTGCACATAGATTGAAAATGGCACTATGGAGGCCAATTAAAAATAAGGCAAAATACTCAGGATGTATCCGATAATGTTCATTCTGTGGAGTTAAGGATTGTGCTGAAATTTATTTTCTCCTTTTGCCAGTGCATAAGAAAATAGATTTAAGACATTTCTTTTTCTGTAGCAATATATTTCTTTTTTTTTCCCTGTACCTGACTGTAGAAAATATATTTTGCATGACATCAAATTGTATTAGTTATCTAATGCTGCTGTAACAAAAATACTACAAATGGATGGCTTTAACACAGAGAAATTTCTTTTCTCACAGTTTAGGAGACAGAAGTAGAAAGATGCTACCTCTAGGGGAAAGTTTTCTCTTGACTCTGGGAAAACTTCTTTATGTCTTGATTCAGCTTCTGATTTTTGTTGTTGTTTCTTATAAAATTTTGGAATTGTCTTTGTTGTATCCTGAGAGATAAACAGATAACCAGATCAACTGGTACATATTTTTACCATCAGAATATATAATACTCCACTTGCCTAAAGTATTTATAGTTTTCATTATGTTTTTGTTGTTATTATGTGCCATCAAGTAGCCTGCAATTCATAGCGACCCTGTGTACAATAGCCCTAAACCCTGCCCTATCCTGTGTGAGTCTTACTGCCGCTGACACACCTACCCCCATTACCCCAGGCACTGAATCCTACTTAGAAAAAATCCAAATAAGTATTTCACTGATTCCTAAAGCAAAGAGCTACCAGATACTTAAAAATGAAGTTCATGTTCCTAAAGGTACTTGTTACCTTCCTATTTAATGGCATTTAACAATTACTTAAAGTCCCTCTGCAAAACATACTTCAATAGTTTTGCCCAAATTTTACTTCACCATTTTCAAATACATATCCTCCTAGTTTTTTATTCATTTCAGATTTCTGAAAGATAAGAGAATGATGAGACCAATAACTTTCATCATTATTCAGGATACATTTAGTATGCAGAACTCAATAATGTATACATGTTACTGATATTGCAAGTTTGTGTATATCTATTGTTGTTGCTGTTATGTGCCATTGAGTTGCCTACCACTCATATGTACAACAGCCCTAAACCCTGCTCTATCTTGTGCCAATCTTATTGTTTCTGACACACCTACCCCCATTATCCCAGTCACTCAATCAATCCATCTTATGTAGGGTCTTCCTCTCTTGCACTGTCCCTCCATCCAAGCATGATATCCCTTTCCAAAGACTTTTCCCTCCTTTCAACATGCCCAAAGTATGTCAGACAAAGCTTCAGAATCCTTGCTTCTGAGGAGCAGCCTGGTTTCACCCTCTCTAGGATGAACCTATTCATTCTTCTAGCAGTCCATGGTATATTCAGTACTCTTCTCCAGCACCATAGCTCAAAGGTATCAATTCTCCTGCTATCATCCCTATTCATTGCCAGCTTTCTGATGCATAGCAACTAATTGCAAAGACTATGGTCTGGATCAGTCATACCTTATTCTTGAGACTGACATCTTTGTTCTTCAGTACTTTGGAGACGTTTCTTATAGCAGACTTTCCCAGTGCAATTTTTCTTCTGATTTCCTGCCTGTTGCTATCAAGAGTGTTGCTTGCCAAGCAAACTAAAGCTATTAACAATTTCAGTCTCCTCAGTCTATCATGATGCTGGCAATCAGCCCAGTGGTGAGAATCTTTTCTCTTTTTTTCTTGATGTTGAGCTTCAATCTATATTGAAGGCTGCAGTCCTTGACCTTCTGCAGCAAGTGCTTCAGGTCCTCCTCAGTTTCAGCAAGCAGGGTTGTATCATGTGCATGATGCAAATTGTTGATGAGTCTTTCTCCAATCCTGATGCCACATTTCTCCTCATAGAGCCCAGCCTCCCAGATAATTCGTTCTTCATATGGAATGAAAAGATATGGAGATAAGACACCATCCCTGGCATACATCCTTCCCAATTTTGAATCATGCAGTGTTTCCTTGCTCTGTTCTGACAACTGCCTCCTGGTCTAGTATTATTAAATTCATTTGTGTTATATTTGTGTCTGTTTTAAAAGAGTGTGAGTGTTCCCTAGAGACAAGAATAGTGAAACTTTGTCTCACATACTTTGGACATGTTGTCAGGAGGAACTAATTCTTGGGAAAAGACTTCATGCTAAGAAAGGTGGAGAGTCAGACAAAGAGAAGATGACCTTCAACAAGATGGATTGGCACAGTGACTGTAACTGGATCTGAGCATGTTGGAGATTGTAAAGATGGTACAGGATCAGTCAAAAGTTCATAACCTTTGTTCTGATTTGTTCATAAGGTGCTTGCTTAATCAACTAGATAGCACCTAACAACAGCATCTTCTACTCAATACCTCTGATAGGAGCTCTGGTGGGAGCTCCTATGGTATATTCCATGGGTGCTGCACTACTAACTCAAAAGCCATACCTCTCTGGTGGGTTCAATCTATCAGCATCTCCACAGGAGAGACAGAGGTTATTTTAACTTGTTGGCAGTGAGTTTTGAGGTTTTAGCTTATATAAATATGTACATATGAACCCTCAGTCTGTTGGGTGAGAGCTTGTTGTTGTTGTTATGTGCCGTTGAGTCATTTCCGACTCATAGTGACCCTATGCACAACAGCCCTAAACCCTGCTCTATCCTGCGCCAACCACACCGCCTCTGACACACCCATCCTGATTACCCAAGTCACTGAATCAATCCATCTCATAGAGGGTCTGCCCCTCCTGCGCTGTCCCTCCACCCTCCCAAGCATGATGTCCCTCTCCAAGGACCCGTCCCTCCTGGCAACATGTCCAAAGTATGTCAGACGAAGCCCCAGAATCCTTGCCTCCAAGGAGTAGCTTGGTTTAATCCTCTCCAAGATGAATCTGTTTGTTTTCCTGGCAGTTCATGGTACATTCAGTACCCTTCTCCAGCACCACAGCTCAAAAGCATCCACTCTCCTTCTGTCCTCCCTAGTCATTGTCCAACTCTCTGATGCATAACAAGCGATTGCAAAGACCATAGCCTGTATCAGGCACACCTTAGTCTCTATAGAGACACTGTTGCTCCTGAGTACCTTTGAGAGGTCCCTAACAGCAGACTTTCCCATCGCGATACGCTTTTTGATTTCCTGACTGCTGGTACCAAGAGTGTTGACTGTGGAGCTGAGCAAACTGAAGCTGTGAACACTCTCAATCTCTTCATCATCCATCCTGATGCTGCCAATTGGTCCAGTGGCGAGAATCTTTGTCTTCTTGACATTGAGCCTTAGTCCATACTGAAGGCTGCATTCCTTGACCCTTCGCAGCAAGTGCATGAGGTCCTCCTCAGTTTCAGCAAGCAGGGTTGTGTCATCTGCATAACGCAGATTGTTAATAGATCTTCCACCAATCCTGATGCCACAATTCTCCTCATAGAGCCCAGCTTCTCGGATAATCTGCTCTGCATACATGTTGAAAAGGTATGGAGACAGGATGCATCCCTGGCGTACACCCTTCCCAATTTTGAACCATGCAGTGTTGCCCTGCTCTGTTCTGACTACTGCCTCTTGATCCAAGTACAGGTTTCGCATTAGCACAATTAAATGTTCTGGGATTCCCATTCTTCTCAGAGTCAGCCACAGTTTGTTATGATCCACACAGTCAAATGCCTTTGCATAATCAATGAAACACAGATAGACATTCTTCTGGTATTCTCTGCTTTCAGCCAAGATCCATCTAACATCAGCAACAATATCCCTAGAGTTTTAAATAAAAAACCAAGTGCATCCATTGAGGACTTCCTGTTAGTGCTACATGTCTGGCCCACTGAGACTCCATGATTGGGGAGAAAAAACAACAAAAGGACAAGTGCAGTACCCTTTAAAAGAAGACTAAATACAATTTTCTTAGTTGAACAAAAGATCAAGTAAAGCAATAGCACTTTATAAAAAATGATTAATCTTTTTCATATGTGCTTGTCTTACCGTATTTCCTACTTTAAACTTTTGTAGGCTGCAATAGGTTCGGTGGCTTTGGACACAGCAAGAGCACATGGAGAGAAACAGCTAGAAGAATATGGAATGGATGTGTTGACGGTAGCATTTTTGGCCATCCTCATTACAGCACCAATTGGAAGTCTACTTATTGGTTTTCTGGGCCCCAGACTTCTTCAGAAAGCTGAACAACAACATAAAGATGAAGACGTTCAGGGAGAAACTTCTGTACATGTTTAGAGGTGAACAGAGAAAGTGTTGAATATAATAATTAGAAAATTGCTATTGGATTGCCCTGTATCAAGATGAAAGTTAAAATATGTAATGTTTACTCTTAATGTGTGTTATAGAACCACAAGCCTGGCTATTTTTTTTTTTCTCCTTCCTCCAATCAACTGCATTTTATTGTGATTTGAGTCAAAGGTTACAAAATAAATCCATTTTCTAGTTAGCCATTTATATGCATTTTGTTGTATGACGTTAACTACAATCCCCACAATGTAACCATACTCTTCCCACTTGGTCCCTGCGATTGTTGATTCCGTTAAAGTATGGCTATTTCTTTACAACAGGAATAATACTCTACATCTTTAATCCTGATTTCTGTACTTTCTCTTTTTTAAAAATTTCTTTTATTATAGTGTGTGTGTGTGTGTGTGTGTAGTCAAATCTTATCCAACAGGTAAAGGAGGAGATTGCCTTTCTCTCTTTTTTTTTTTTTTAACACATTTTAATATGTGTTTCTTTATGTAAACACGTATCTACTTTAAATTGCTATCACAATTCAAATTTAACAGGAGGAAAAATGAATTTGGTCTTAGCCAGCAGCTTGTCTTAACATAGATTTACTTTCACATTTTTAGTATTTAGTGGTCTCAACTTTTATTTTTTTAAACTGTTTTTGCTTCTCTTTTTTAAACACCAACAACAAAAAAATCCACCTTCCATAATGTAGCCCTTCATAAATTTTTACTCACTTCCCCATACTGTTCTGTCTTTTCAGTATTACTCAACTACCATCCTGAAAAATACTACGACTGATTAATAACTACCAAAATTTTAAGTACACAGTATTTACACAAGGCGGGAGCTCTGGTGGCCTAGTGGTAAGAAACTGTGCTGCAGTCTCTGAGGCATGCTGTTCGAGGCCACCAGCTGTTTTGCAGGAGAAGAATGGGCAATCTCCTCCACTGCCTCCGACTCCATAGTGTCAGCTATGATTTGGTTCCAGCTCTATGGTACACAACAACAAGAACAATTATATACATTGACTTTTCCCCCCTCTTGTTCCCATCTAGATGTCAAAAAAATGGTATCCTTTTCCCTCAGTGACTAGACAGAGTCGTGCGTTTAGGGGCTTACCTGTGTCCTTCTTACTCACCTAGTGGCCTAACTCAGCCCTTTATTTGGTTGTGAGTCCTTGTGACTCATATCTTCAGGGCCTTTTCTATCCTCTGAGAGAGGGAGCTCTAATTATCTGGTAAAAAGCTGCACTGCAATCTCAAAGGAATGCAATTCAAATCCGCCAGCTGACAGTCTACTCATAGATTGTCCATCATCCCTGGGAGAAGCCAGAGTTACCATTGTGTTGGATGTTACCACAGCTGAGTAAAATGTTGCTATAATATTGCTTGTCAGATACTATTACATATGTTTAAAAACTGAGACAGACTAAGAAGAAGGATTGGCCGTCCACTTCCAAAATTACAGGCTTTGAAAACCCTATGTATAACAGAGCACATTTAGACTAGCATTTGGACTAACAGACATGGGAATTGAAACTGAGATCTTAGAAATAGAAATCAGTTCTGTGACTGGAGTGGTGGGAATGAGTGTGTTTGAGTTGGCGAGATTGGCACAGGATAGAACGGCATTTAGGGCTCTTGTACATAGGGTCACTATGAGTCGCAAGTGACTCGATGGCACATAACAACAACATATTATATTTTTATATATCATTATATATATTATATATATAATATAGTAATATAACATATTATTCTATGCCTTCGGGTTGACTAGGCCCATAGCAACCCTATGAATAACAGATTAGAACCTTGTACCATCATCAAGATCGCCCACCTGCATAGACCCATAATTACCGTCACTGTGTCAGTCCACCTTGTTGAGAGCCTTCCTCTCCCTCTGATCGTCCACCTTTCCTAGAATGATTTCCCCCACCCACCCCCAAGGACTAGCCCCACCTGAAAATATGCCCAAAGTACAGGAGATTTGCATGTTGATGAGCTGCTGGAAACTATGTCACTAGTATTTCAAATACCAGCAGGGTCACTCATGGTGCATGATAGGTTTTAATGGAGTTTCCAGACTGAGTCAGATTTAGTAATATACTGATGGTATATTAACAAGTACATTCTGTGGCAGGAATTTTCCAACCTTGTGGTTTGTCTGCAGAGAAGTATTAGAAGAAAGCTTTATCTGCATATGCCACATCCTATCGCATGTATACAAACGGCCTTATCTGATTTCAATACTAATTTTAGGGGCATCCACTTCCTAAACAACATGCCTCTGGAAACTCTATGAACTTTGATGAATTATGATAGTAATAGAAAGGCTTCAGACCTTTTGTTCATAGTGTCGTGAAGAGATGTGCTCGACTCGACAGAAATCAACAACACAATGTCATCTCCTACTTAGCTGCGATAATATATTCAATTTACATCATGTTCTATGTAAATATATCCTGTCTGGACTCTTTAGCCTAGAGTTCAAAATTTAACTCTGATGTAGATATTAAATCAGTAAATGACAACTATTCTAATCCCACCTGATTTGCATAAAGCCTGATACTCCTTTTTTTTTTTTTTTTTCATTAGATTACTGTGCTGGTAGACAATTCTACCATGACTTTGACCTCTATTCAAAAGTTTGAATAACTTAATATGCACTTCTGGTAGATAGATTTTCTTCCTATGATGTCAGCTGGGCTCTGGTACATTATGTTACTGTGGTGGTGGTGGTGTTATTAGGTGCCATTAAGACAAGTACGACTCTTAGAAACCCTATTAATGGCCAGCCTGCACTCTGCCCTATTCTGTGCTATTTCATCATCTCCAACACATTAGAGCCCATTACTGAAGACACTGTGTCAGTCCATCTTGCTTAGGGTCTTCCTCTCCTTCACTGACCCTCCATCTTTCCAAGTATGATATCCCTTTCCAGAAAAAGCCTTGCCTAGCTACATCTCTTTCAAAGTATGAAAAGTGAAGCTTCACCATCCTTGCTTCCAAGGAACACTCTTGAAGGCTGCACTTTCTCCAAGATGTATCTATTTGTTCTTTTGGCAGTGAATAGGTATTCCATAATTCAAAGGCATCAGTAATTATTCTATCATTCATTATCCAGCTCTCTGACATGCAGCAAGTGATAGAGAAGACCATGGCCTGAATCAGCACACCTTAGTCTTCAAACTGACATCATTGCTCGTCATCATTTTGACAATGTCCCTGACAGCAGACTTGTCCAATGCAATATGTCCCCTGATTTCTTGACTGCTAGTACCAAGACTGTTGAGTGTTGCTCCAAGGAAGATTGGAACAACTTACATCCTTTCTCTATTATAACATTGACTGCTGGTCCCATTGTGGGGACCTTTATTTTCTTGATATTGAAATGTAATCCATACCAAAGGCTGTAGTCCTTGATCTTTTTCAGGAAGTGTTTCATAGCCTCCTCACTTTCAGCAAGCAAAGTTGTGTCATCTGCATAACACAGGTGGTTGATGAGTCTCCTCCAAACCTGATGCCACATCCTTCTTCATAGAGGCAGGCTTTGCAAATTATTTGCTCAGCATACAGGTTGAATAGGTATAGAGAAAAGATACAACCCTGATTTTAAACCTTGCAGTGTTCCCTTGCTCAGTTCAAGCAACAGCTCCTTGGTCTGGATATAGATTTCATATGAACACAATTAAGTGTTCTGGTATTCCCATTCTTCTGGTATAAATGTTAGCTATAATTTGTTATGATCAGTCAAATGTCTTTGCACAGTCATAAAACTAAAGACAAAGAGGATGAAATTGAGCGTTTCTCCCAAGTTTTGAAACCAAAGATTGCTCAAATGAATTATTCAGTCAATGTGCTTTAATAGTTATTGGTGATTGGAATGCAAGCATTGGAAACGATGAGGAGGGAACAGTATCCAGAAAGTATGGGCTTGGTGACAAAAATTAGGCCAGAGATCGAATGATCAAATTTTGTGTTCTCAATGATTTATTCATAGCAAATACCTTTTTATTAAAAAATGCAAACTATGACTTTACACATGTACCTCACCTGATGGATTTCACAGGAATCATATTGACTACATTTGCAGAAAGACTCATTGGAGAAGTGCAGTATCTGCAGTTAAAACCAGACCAGGTGCCAAGTGTGGAACAGATTATCAATTACTCATGTGCACGTTTAAACTGAAGCTAAAGAAAATTAAAACTAGTCCTCTGGAACCAAAATACAATTTTAGTCTATCCCAACTCAGTTTAAGAATCATCTCAAGGACAAGTTTAAGACTATGAACACCAATGATTGAAGACTAGAGAAACTGTAGGAGGACATCAAGGATATCATCCATGAAGAGGCCAAAAGATCATTACAACGAAGGAAAAGGGGGAGGAAACAAAAATAAATGTCAGGAGAGACTGAAAATTGCATTAGAGCATTGAGAAGCCAAAACAAAAGGAAGACATGCCATGGTGCCAAAGTAAAAGAGCTTAACAGAAGATTCAGAGGATAGCTTGAGAAGATACAGCAAAATATAACAAAATGTGCAGAGAGCTGGAGTCAGAAAATAAAAAAGGAAGAACTCACTCAGGATTTCTCAAGCTGAAAGGCTTGAACAAATTCAAACCTTGAGTTTCTGTACTGAGAGGTTCCATTGGCACAGTTCTGAAAGATCTGGAAATATTAAATGACAATGTATATGAACTTTATGAACTTTGTAAACCAGTATAAAATTAAAAATGGGGGAATAAAGAAATGAGCTAAACGAACAATTAAAAAGAAGATGGAAGGAATACACAGAATTCTATACCAAAAAGATTGACACTGAAAAATGGCAGGAAGTTCCATAAAAACAAGAGCCAATGATAATTAAGCCTCAAGAGCTTCAATGATTATGAAATTCAAGCTGCATTGAAGGCATTGGGGGTGGGGGGAATATGTTGCCAGAAATTGAAGGAAAACCAATTGACATGTTTTAACTGAACATGCAGGATGTGTTCACCAGTTTATGCCAGGAAATAATGGAGAACAGCTGCCTTAAAGAGATCCACATATGTACCCATTACCAAGAAAGGTTTTCCAACAGAATGTTGATTTATCAAACAATGTCTTT